GGATGATATATTGGCTCTCAATAATGACGACTTCAGTATGTATACTAAAGAAATTTATCCTGTTGAACTTACTTTTAATAAAGCTAATACTAACAATGACCACTGTCCTTTCCTCGATCTTGATATCTATATCATTAACGGAAAACTTAATACAAAAATTTATGATAAAAGAGATGATTTTTCATTTCCTATCGTTAATTATCCATTTTTAGTTGGTGACGTTCTCTTGTCGCCATCTTATGGTGTTTATATATCTCAACTTGTACGATTCGCTCGTGTATGTAAAAACGTATTAGATTTTAGCGAGAGAAATTTATGTATTACTGAAAAATTATTACACCAGGGTTTTCGATATCATAAACTAGTCAAAACATTTACTAAATTTTATCATCGGTAAAAGGACATCATTCGTAAATATAACTCAACATGAAGACATCTTATACGTTCGGGTATTTCACATCCAGTCTTGTATGGTAATATTCTTTACAAAGCACAAAAATGTCAGTATTCACCTCAAAAGCTAACACAACCTTTAAACAGACTTATTAAGAAGGGATATAGTTACGATACTGTTGTCAGGTCATTAAAGATTGCATATTTTGGCTTTAATATTGTTTCACTTATAGGGTCTTTGCATCGGAATTAAACATATTTATTCTAAAACCAGTTGTTGGCATGGCACGGGTTATGTTCTTCTCATATATTTTATGATGGTATAATACTAAACCCCTAACAGGAGGGATTGTGCCTGATATTCATATGATGAAGACATAATCTTTCAATCAATTTAATTGAGGTCTGGAGCTGGCATGTCAGTAACTGCTAATAGTCTGTTGTTATTTATGTATTATTGTCATTTTGTTTATTTTCTTTTGTTTCCTATTCTGACATCGGACTCGGACTTCTCTTAAACTGAGTTTTACTGTGCGTACTGTTGTGCGTTTGTTTTTTCTACATTGGCTAGAGGTATAGGGGGAGGGTTTAGATCTCAAAAAACATGTTTAACCCCGCTGCATTTTTGCGCCTGTCCCAAGTCAGGAGCCTCTGGCCTTTGCTAATCTTGTATCATTTTTATGTTTAGTTTCTTGTGTATAATTTGGAGTTTAGTATGACGTCCATTATCACTGAACTAGTATACATATTTGTTTAGGGGCCAGCTGAAGGACGCCTCTGGGTGCGGGAGTTTCTCGCTGCATTAAAGACCCATTGGTGGCCTTCGGCTGTTGTCTGCTCTATGATCGGGTTGTTGTCTCTTTGACACATTCCCCATTTCCATTCTCAATTTTATTAAGTGTTTCAATGCAACGAAGCCTATCAACGAATCAAAAAAAAAAAATTGACCCTATAGGAATACTGCATACCGACAAAAAACATATACCAATTGAAAAATTGATAACGACGTCCTTAGCGTATGAAATAGCAATAACCAGACACTACCGCTACTGATATTTACAGTATGTCATTATTTTGTGATGATACACCATCACTGTCCCAGGTTGAGGGAAGGTTGAGCGCTCACAAAAGGTTTATTGCCGCCACATTATTCATGTGTCAGTAGTTCAGTGGTTGTCGTTATTTCATATCTGTCATATTTGTTTTTCGTAAATTGTTTTGTTATAAATTAAGCCGTTTTCTATCGTTTGAATTTATTCACATTTTTCATGTCGGGCCTTTTATAGCCATCTAAACGGTATAGGAGTTTTCTCATTGTTGAAGGCCTTATGGTTGCTTACATCCACTTCAGTTGAACTCTGATAGAATGTTTTCTCATCATCAATTATACATGTTATATCACATCTCCTTATTTTCATATACATTGTTATTTGATTTCAGCATTTAAAACGTAAAATAAACGTATGTGTTTGCATTGATATTTTTATAATCAACTCCATCCAATTAACAACCAGTGTTAAACCTATATAAATACATGCCAACTAAATCAATTACCATAAGATATATAAAAATAAAAAAAAACTCTATAAATGAACTATTGTTGGAAATAAATAATAAATAACTGAAGTATAGCTGAATCTTAAACGGAACGATATGACGTCTTAAAGTTTAATACACACTTTTAACAAAAACTACATTTTAAAAAATATTAGATACTATTATTTCAATTCCCATTTCCTTAACATCTTTAAATAATAAGTCATGTGTACCATTCTATAAATCATATCTGAATGAGGAACAAAATCTTTCATTTTTAAGGATGTTTGCTGTGAAAATACATAGATAAGATACCTTTACATTAAATTTTATGGTGTTTAATACAGACGCTATTAGCGTACGTTTTTGCGTTAATGATGCGAAATCATACACAACACAATTATCAGCATCTTTTTGAAAAATCGTAATCAGGATCTGTAAACCTATAAACTCAACGGGTTTTACTGTTTCTAAACAATCAATTAAAATTGATCACACTGTAATTAATACTTTACATTGCCGACAAAATAATTATCACAACGTGAGAATTGCACGTTAGACATAACAAACTATACGCATATTTGCATTCTTTTGGATATTGTTAAATTCACGATATTTCAACGTTTTATATTATTCATGATATTATCATTGAAATCGTGATGATTCACTGGCTAAAACTGATTTTGTGCAAAACCTTCTAGTTTTCACCATGGTCAGATTTAAAAAAAAGTTATCATTTATTAAATTCAATGGATATTTTTAGTAAATAAGACGAAAAGACATATCGTTAGGATAAATAAGGCTAGCAAAAGTAAATACATAGACTATTTATAGACTTGCTTTTCACAACTTTAATGTGAGAAATAAACATGCAACGGCGGCTTCTGTGTTGATAAAATGTGCATAGTCAAATTATTTCGCGCTTTTAAGAAGTAAACTGTCAGTTGCGATGTCCTGTGATAAAATATAATATTTCAAGTACATAACTTATTGCTTTTTCGTAATTGTTCTTGAACCTCATTTTAAGATCAGAGGCCAATTCAGATGTCGAATAATTTTAATTGTAATGGTATGTGCAAATGATAGAATTAGATAAAAACAAAAATATTCTATGAATAAATTATTAATAGATCTTATCTTAATTAGAGATTCAAAAGTTGTGTTTATTGTAAACTGATTAAGAATAAGTCATTTCCTTTTGAGACTCGTCAAACATTTAATTGCAATTTGATATTATGTTGCAATACGTTCTTACACAATACGATACTTTCATAATTTCCTGCAAAATTATGAAAAATCATGACATGTTGACTATTTCATATTTTTTTTTTTAAATGGGACATGATTAACTTGTTACTATCCGCCCACTCCTTCGTTTTAATGCAAATTAAGGACGTCTTTCCTCTTCCCAGAAGTAAAAGGAAACATTGCATTGATATTGCATTCCAATTCCCTGTCATTTTACCGAAACATGTATTAGTAGTTTTATTGACTGCACACAGCTCTGCCTAAATGCCCTCGCTTTTCAGCGTTAAGCGTCAAGGGAGGAGGTCCGGTAAGGGCTAATTTTGGCTTCATATTTGTAGTACATCTGATTAAAGATTTTTGACAGGTTTTAAAAACTTAAGTGTCTACTCCTTCGATTCAATTAGTTTATGTAAAATATTTGAACTAATTTTTTTATTAAAGACGCTCAAATTCAAGCCTGAATATCAAAAATATATCAAATATGTCATAAAACGTCACTTTTTAAGATGGCTTTGTCTAAAATGTAAGTGGTCGCATTCGTTTTCAGTCTGAATCTTTATACATGTTATGTATAATCATCAAATACAACATATATTCAAATATCTAGACTGCACAAAAGAGCTACCACTTTCGTTTTAGACACAAAACCGTCTAAAAATTAGCAAAAAAGCTAAAATTGTAAAGATTTCAATAATTTTGCATGAAATACTGATGCTGGTACCTAATGCATGTGCATTGTATTGTCAAAAACAGCCCATATTTATGTAACAAAAGTATTTTTACTGTCCAATAAATTACTAAAATAAAATTGAGAAAGGAAACGGGGAATGTGTCAAAGAGACAACAACCCGAAAAAAGAGCAGAAAACAGCCCAAGGTCACCATTACGTCTTCAACACAACGAGAAAATCCCGCACCCGGAGGCGGGATTCAGCTGGCCCCGAAACTAAAATGTGTACTAGTTCAGCTAAAAATGTTTACATTTTTAACAAATATATGAAAATGATATATTTTGGGGCCAAAAAGTGGTCTAATCGGGCCAACTCCTTTCGGACTCTCGTACTTAACGTTCATCGAAGTATTTAAAAATACATGTATGACAGTGTTCTTTGTTTTAGAGAAACACTAGGACACTTGGTTTAGACAAAAATGCCTTTAGATATTTCAAATATGATAATCAAGAGCTAATGAAAAATATATGAAAAAAAAACTTAATGAATTCATAAATCCTCCAAAGCTCTTTTCTGTATTTACATTTATATAACGCAAAAACTTGAACGTTTGAAAGCCAGGGATGTTTAAATACACCCAAACAGTAGGAACTATTTGACCAAAAGACCTCAAATCCCAAACTCATCTTAGGTCAACCTTGCCAATTTTTTTCAATTCTATTTAAAGGTACTAAATTAAATCCTGATTCTTTTATTCATTTACACCCTTTCTAAATAAACAAACCCTTGTTATACATATATGAAAGGAGATGTGCTAATGCTAACACATCTGCATACAAAATATCATCAATATACCACTAGTGGTTTGCCTTAAAATTACCTAATTATAAACTTATCCATGAAAACTAAGCAAAAGTTACAAAGTCAATAAACCATGACTGAAGGGATGGCCCAAATAATCTCCATGGAAATGAGATGTGCCAATGGTCATACACCTGCATACAAAACATCATTGATTTACCGTAGTGGTTTCTAAAAAAATGACCTAGTATGCCTAAATCTCGCTTTGTTCTTGACATATTAAGAGGTGTATGACAGATGTGCGGTAGACATAATGCAGTTGGTCTATCTGGCACATGTTGAAATACGCTGGTTCATAATAACGAAACAAAATATTTATTGAGACATTTTCAGAGATTTCTATAATAAACAAGTTACTTACTTATTAATTACTCATAATTGTTAAACGATATTCAGTTTGATAATTCAAAAATCAAATTAAGATATCACTTGTTACCAAAAAATACAAAAAGTCTTTTATGAATCACAACGATGATTTTCGTCTTCAAAATCAGATGACATACCACGATAGACAAAATCGTGTTGACCTTCTGTTGACAGATTTTTCACTTGAAATAAACTTGGCCAGCTGAATCCTGGCTGAAGATTAACATTTGTTTCATTTGCACACAGTTTACCAAACTCTCGCTTTATTCCAAGTATATCTATTTTTGAGGGTGTAAAAATTGTTTGTATCAACGATAATGTAGGTGGTATATTGTTGTTACACTCTTCTTCGATCTCCTGAAGACTTAACTTGTTCTTTGTATTATTCTGGATAACCGCATCCTTGTAGGAATCTCTTACTTTATTAATAATTTCTTCCAGTTTTGCTGCACGAAGATCAATTACTTTCAACTGATCTTCCAATTCAACCTGCCATACGTCCTTATATAGTTTAAAATGTTGTTGAAGCATTTCATTGAAAAGTATATTGTTATTTGTTCTTGGAATTGACTTTAAGGCATGCCTTGCGTGTACTGATTCCACGCATTTATCACAAATAAATTGCCTACATTCTGTGCATAGAAAAGTAGTTTCTTTGATATGTAACGAACAAAACACGTGCTCTGTACTTCTTTCTAAGACTGCACACTGACTTCCTGACATGGCCGGAATTTCAGTTTGGCTTTTAAATAAATAAAAAAACAAAATTTAAACTACAATTGTTCATTTTCTTTTCCTTTTTAATAATTTTTTAAGGGAGAGGGGGTGGAGTGCTATTATTTGATCATATCGATAAGTTTTATGACGTAGTATGATAACTTTTGTAAAATAGATTAAAATATGCATTCACAATTTCATTTATCATTGACATCGTGTTTTTTTTTTCATATTTTGTCATAAATTTATTATTTTTATACTTTTTGGAACGGCAAGCAAATTGGCAACTGCGAATAAATGCAATCAAATTCCATATATCTGAGCCTGATTTTTTTCGCAGTCTGTTAATTATTGTTTACAATATTATCATTATAATAGCCAGGCTGATGTATTTAAATGATAAAAAAGTGCCATGGTGTTAAAAATAATGAGGATTTATTGTTTACATCAGAATATGAAATAGAAATAATTAATAGTTACCATATCCATAAGTCTCTATTCACACATGTTTAATCAAGAAAATCAATGATATGTGTTGTTATATATAAACTTTTATGATAAGGAAACTTAAACTTATTTTTTGTTTGTCCTACTTCCGACTAGAAATGGCCTATAAAGTATGAGGGAAGTGTACAATTAACTTATAAGTGGCTACACATAATAAATCAAGTTTCGGTTTCATAAATGAAAGAAAAGATCGGTAGCAAGATGAAAATTTACAAGTTGTTGACTATTGACCATTGAATAATAAGTGTACAGGTAATAAAAATGTCAAAGGTTGTTATTGATTATGCAATAAGCGTGTTGTATTTAATTTCATGGCGGTTTTGCACTCTTTTAAAACAATTAAAATAATTTACCGTTTTGCATTTTTTTTTTTGTCAAAATCTTTTTTTTTTTAATTTAGTTATTTTTAGAAAACCTAATGTAAATATAGAAAAAAAAATTCAGTAAGTGACCGAACAACACATTGATTCACGAATGCGCGTAGCGCATGAGTTAATTATCGGTATTGTTTGGTCACTAGTTGAATATTTTTCTTTATTCGAATTCTTAGTTTAGTTATCCCCTGTTACATTGACTTTTTATGGTAATAAAGCAGAAAATGCAAAGAAACATATTTTTTATGCGTTCTCAAATTCGTTTTGATGCAAAATAATCAAAAACCTCTTGACAACAGACAATGTTGTTAGACATTGGAGGAGTGAAATTGTCTGAATCATTAAGTCATCGGTTTTTTAATTCACTGGGAAACCACGATGTTTTATTGCAACCAATGTAATAAGATATTTTTGAATTATCATTAGCATTTTTTCAATCTGACTTCAGATCTTCTTTCATTAAAATAGTGTTAAATCATTTCTCAAACATAGTTCAATGTCAAATATTGTTACGAATCAGTAACAATGTGATTTGTGTTACCTTTGCTTAGATTTAAAGTCGGTAGTTTAATAGTTTGTGGTTCATCGTTTGTGATTAAAAAAAAACTGCTCGTACATCTATTTTAAAGTTTTGAATTCGATCATGTTTAAAGGTAACATATTATACATGTTATACATTACCAATGTTTTATTTGTTGTATGATAATTTAGGTCAGAACCGCCTCAATTGTGTCGTGGTAGCCTCGAGTGCGGGAAGGAGTCGTAGGTTGGAACCTCGGCCGGGTGAAACCAAGAATTTGAGAATAAGTATATAGTGCTATAATGCCACTTAGCCTATCAACGAATCCAAAAGAATGTATGACCATCCAGGTATATTTCCTACCGTTATCAACATAAGCCAATTAACAAATTTGATAACGACGTTCCTACTGTAAAAAATAGCAATAGTCAGAAAGGATCACATGTTTGTATAGAATATGAAAACAACACGTTATTGAAGGCATGTGTCCGAGGCGCTTTTTTTTTATTTACCATGATATGCAAAAGTCCAGAAATATATCCCTTATAGTCTATGAAACATATTTTCTGTAATTTTTAGTTAGCATACGTTCTACAGTAGCTACGCTATTTCTCTTTACAAATAATCAATAAACCAAATTGAATACATATAATTTTTGTAACTTTAAAATATATGAGGTTTTTGGCCAATTTGAACTGAATCGGATAGTGGTACTTAGATTTCAAATAATACATCAAGGTAGACTCAGTTTTTATTTGTTACCTGTACCTTAATTTATCTTTTTTTGCATCGCTTTACGTGAATTGAACATCGCTTAACTTTATTTTATTTAGTACTTTTTAATCACTAAAACAATTAGAAAACACATATGATATGAAATCATTAGTTTGAATACAACGCTTCAATATTCTGTTGTTTTATTAGCAAACATGTCAACGTCTGTTTATTACATTACCTATAATCGATTTCGTTACATTTCATTTGTCAACCTGATTGCAAAGTAATTTCAAAGTGATAACAGTTTCCAAGTGTTTTCATTTGAAGAATAATTACATCGGATGGGCAAGCAGCATTCAGTTGAAGAATAATTACTTCGGATGGGCAAGCAACATTCAGTTGAAGAATAATTACATCGGATGGGCAAGCAACATTCAGTTGAAGAATAATTACATCGGATGGGCAAGCAGCATTCAGTTGAAGAATAATTACATCGGATGGGCAAGCAGCATTCAGTTGAAGAATAATTACATCGGATGAGCAAGCAGCATTCAGTTGAAGAATAATTAAATCGGATGAGCAAGCAGCATTCGTTGAAGAATAATTACATCGGATGGGCAAGCAGCATTCAGTTGAAGAATAATTACATCGGATGGGCAAGCAGCATTCAGTTGAAGAATAATTACATCGGATGAGCAAGCAGCATTCAGTTGAAGATTAATAACATCGGCTGAGCAAGCAGCATTCAATTGAAGAATAATTACATCGGATGGGCAAGCAGCATTCATTTGAAAAATAATTATATCAGATGGGCAAACAGCATTCATTTGAAGAATAATTACATCAGATGATGGACAAAAAACAGCATTCAGTTAAAGAATAATTACATCAGATGGGCAAGCAGCTTTCAGTCGAAGAATTATTACATCGTATGGGCAAGCAGCATTCATTTGAAGAATAATTACATCGGATGGGCAAGCAGCAATCAGTTGAAGAATAATTACATCGGATGAGCAAGCAGCATTCAGTTGAAGAATAATAACATCGGATGAGCAAGCAGCATTCAGTTGAAGAATAATTACATCGGATGGGCAAGCAGCATTCATTTGAAGAATAATTACATCGGATGGGCAAGCAGCATTCATTTGAAGAATAATTACATTAGATGGGCATGATGAAATTCATATAAACGTTGGAGGTACTCTCTTTGTTACAAAATGGTCAACATTACAGAGACATGGCGAAACGTTATTAGGAATACTAACAACGACATCAGAATATTACAATAATGATAAAAAACAGTTTTTCTTTGACAGAAATCCAGACTTGTTCAACACGATTCTAGATTTTTACAGAAATAGAGTCATTCACTTTCCTACCCATATTTGTGGTTGGAATTGGAAACAGAAACTTGAATTTTTTTAGAATTCCCTTTACAAACATATCCGAATGTTGTTACTCAACATATATTAAATTCGAAAAAGATTAGAATTTGGTATTAGGGTTCAAATGAAGTGGATGTAAGCAATTATAGGCAACCGTACGCCCTTCGATAATGAGAAAAACCCATGCCGCATAGTCGACCATAAAGCCCCCGACATGAGGAAATGTGAAACTATCCAAACAAGAAAACAAACGGCCTAATTTATAACAAATCAATTTACGTAAAACAAATATTACAAAAATTGATAAGAGGCACAAAACAACTGACATAAAAAGAGTAGACACAAAGCATCGAAACAGTAGTATTCGCAGTTACTGGAAGATAAATCAAAGTCAATTATAGGTTGCACTTCTGTAAATATAGACAATGCAATTTTCCATAGTAACTCCTTTACGGGCTAAAACTGTGCAATTTTTACTATGAAGTTTCGTATTAAATCATATCCTAGAATGGAAAGTTCATATGCACTACTATTTTTTTTAAAGGTCAAAAGATAGGGCTGTGCGGCATATTTTTAACATTTATATGCCTCGAACTTCTAGGAGTTTAAACTTATACAAAAATTCTGTACTATCCCTCCTTTCACTTTAAGTCTTAGTCAGAATTCAATTAGGCCGCTATCCATTTGAATGTATAGTGGTAAATTTCCCAAGTTATGTCTCTATGAGATGAAACATAGAGATCATATCTGGGAACTAGTAGGTAAACAAAACAAAATATCTATGAATATTATATATCTCACCAAAACAGGCTTGGTTTATGAAACATATGTACAAAGTGCAACATATAACAAAAAAGTAAATAATGTTCTCCAAGACTAAAGTGTTAATCAGTACACTTCCAACGGATTTAGTTTAAGACGTCATAAAAAGTGTGCATAAGCATAAATATAAATGGACAGACAAACATGTGCAAGCATGTAAAGACGATTATTCTAGGTCTGTCATATATTTTTAAATTACAAAAATGTACTACGATTTTGAAGATGAAAAACCATATTTGATAACTTAATTCCTGTGATATTGGCGATGAGTTTTAATACATTTCAAAATGTTCTACCCATGACGAAAGTAGTGAATCATTCTTGAAAATCTGTTCCTTAAATATAGCAATATCTAAAGATTTCAAGATCTAATGCAAAATTACAGTCCATGTATACTTAACAAGTTGAGCAAGTTATCTGAATAATTAATATATAATCTCCTTGGTAGCCACTTTATATATCTGCCTTACATGCGTATTCACATTTTATATTATGATATATGTTAACTGTATTTGTATTTCCCTGTACCATTGTCCTTTCAAGAGTGAAAAAAATATATATATCATCAATGAAAAACCTAAAGAAGTCCCCATGATTGGGATTATATCATCAAATTTTCAATATTGAGATACATGTCTTCAACTTTAAATCGCCCAATTCGAAATTATATGACATGAAAGACGTTTAACAAATCTGGAAATGCAGTTATTATATTTTCATGGACATTGTGTATAATTCTACATGTTCAACCTTATAAAAACATAGCACGTAGTGAAGGTGTAATCAAACCGTAAAATAATAACTTATTTTTTAGATATTTAGTCCCATCTACCTTTTTATAGTGCTGTTGTCTGCAATTACACCGATGATAGCTACACACCCGGATGTGCGACAGAAAGTTGTAGATATAGATATATTGATTTACTGGGTAAATTTGAATAGACTAAATCTATGGATAGACAAAGGAAATCCAAAGGAAGTCATGTTTGTAACAACAAAACCGCCTCAATGCAATGGCTAAAGGATATGGAACTCTTCATAACGATTTTCTTTTCTTGTGAACAAATTTTAAGATTTGTCCCCTGTTCAAGAACGAAAGAGTTCTTCAAAGACTGGTTAAATGTTCTTGATGAAGTATTATTCATCGCTATGTGGACTATTTTCGTTATTGATAAATTATTTACCGAAAAATTACTTGAAAAGTTAGACCTGTTAATATTCTATTCTGTGTGTTATTGTCTCGTTGTTTTCCGACTTCTTAGATTCTTTAGGATCACGAAACAGTACAGTGCGCTTCGAATCTTATTGATGTATGTGAGAGCTAGTATAAAAGAACTGGGTTAACTGAGTAATGTAAATTCAGAAATTATTGCGAGGTTTTTATTAATGCGAATAATGCAACTGTTTGAGTATCGCAATAATAAAAACTCGCATGCTCATATTTAATACATATATATGCACACATATTTTTCCGATTTCGCAATAATTAATCTCGCATTATTGTCCAATCTTCGAAAATCGCAAAAATAAATGCACGCAATAATTTCTAATTTTACAGTATAACATTTCTTATTTGTGTATTGTTGTTTGCAAACCTCATATATTTCGCCGAATTGCGGGATCCAACGACCTCTTCGGATATGGTTATTGGCCTTTGGTGGTCTGTCGTTACTATGACTACAGTTGGATATGGTGATGAGGTACCTAAGTCTGCTCTAGGACGCATTTTTGCATCATTGTGTGCCGTTTCCGGTCTGTTACTTCTCGCTATGCCAATTGCTGTAATTGCCGGAAAACGTAATGACTTGTATGAGAAAAGTGCTAACAGAGAGGATTTTAAACAACTACACACCATTCAAAAGATGAGTAAGGTTCATCCAAGCAATACCATGACTTTGCAACAAAGTAAAATTCTGAAAAACAGAACTAACCTAAATACCAAAGACCTGGAATATAATGATGATAACAATCTTTTCGATATAGATGTGTAAAAATCGTGGATCTACATTGATTCTTCCTGTACAGGTGAAAATTTTGACGAAAAATAGGACACTTTGACTAAAATAGATTTTGCTTGTTTAATTTTCATGAAATTTTGACAAAATATTTACTTTGACCTGTTGATAAAAATATAAAAATTTCAAGAAAGTTGAACCACACAATTGACAGGAATAATTTCATTGGATATATAGCAGTTAGACAAACACTAAGTTTGATCATTGAGAAGCTTGATTTATCTTTATTTATAGTATACGATTAAAACGCTCAATTAATTTTAAGAGAGTTAACTGCCTTAGGTGTTCTGTACCCCCTTAACCCATTTGATATCTGCAAGCATTGATCACTTCGTATTATTTACAATGTGATTTGAACTGAATAATTGTATCGAGAAAATTGTTTTAATCTTAGAGCGCAAATTTTCGTATTAAGTTATGAAGATCTGCAGTTTCTTGTATAGGAAATCATCGTGGAACATGCTTTATACACATTTTATGTATCAGAAGGAGAAGGGAGAAAGGTAAAGTATTCTCAACTTTTTTTCAGAATTTCAATCGACACACACAGTAAAACCTCATGCATATCACCATCATGATATTTATTCACATGATAATTGAAAAAAAGTCTCATGTATATTTGATTGAAAGTTAGTTGACTGTGAGAATACTGTTTCTTGGTAGTGAAAATGCACATTGAGATCCGGAATCAAGTGTGTCTGTCTTAAACAAAGCATGGCAGCTTATATCTTATTAAAATGTTTTCGTATTTACAATGTTTTGAATATCAATGTAAAGTTTGCTGTATTTGACGTCAATCAACCATCAAATAATCAATTCATTTGCAAGGACCGCAATAAGCTGCCTGACTGACCATGTATACATAATGGTAACAACTAAAACATATGTACAATCACAGTGCATAATATATCAAGAAAAATCCAAGGACACTGACATGAAATTAATGATTGAACGTGGCAGTCAAAAGAAAGTTGTGCAAAATTATAATCAATCTCGAATAATTACATTACCTATCAGTTTCTTAAGAATCCGTAAAAGTTGATTGGCTGACAACGATCGCGTGGCACTCCAATCTCATATTTTACTTCTGTATAAAATACAACCGCTATGACTACACGTGCTGCTCGTTACAATTGCAAAATAATGTATTGAAAAACAAACAAAAAGCTTGATATAACTGTTAATTTCATGGTAGTTGCATCAAAATGAAATTATAAGAATTGAATACTTCTCTTTATAATTTTATAGGGTGCAAAAGAGTTGATCGTGGGCACATTTTAAATATGAACCGCTTCCGCGCTTCATACAAAATGTGCTTCGGTCAACGCTTTTACACCAAAATAAAATTATAAAAAGAATTATTAAATTCTCAAAAAAGTATTTCAAATGGTTTATATATGGAGATCATGGTAACTAACATAATCATAATGAAACCCTAAGTAGATAAATAGACACTTTAAAACACAAAAATGATCAGCAAGGCAAGATCTACTAACAAGTCAAATTTTACCAATATAGGTAGTAGATTGTCGCTCTTTATAGAAGTGATTGCCCTTAAATGAGGATTTTTTTTTATCCTCTTTTGTGTTTTGAGCAAAAACTAAAGAAGATAGAGAAAAAATAAACAGATTAAATAATCAGCAATACAAGATCAGCAAAACAGATTTTTGATGTGAATTCTATTCTCGTCTACAATGTTCCTTTGTTGAATATGCACAAAGACCAAGGTGAGCGACATCGGCTCTTTAGAGTATCTAGTTTCATTTTATGTGGATATTTTAAATATAAAAGTAGAAATTCTAGAAATTTAGTTCCTCGTCAAAGTCGCAACAGGTTTTATATAAGAGCATGACAGGCGTCATTTAAGGTCAATAATTCCAATAAGGAGTCGTCGGACGATTTCCTCTAGATTTTCATAATAGTAGATCTTTACTTGCTGATCATTTGTGCTTATTTAAGTTTCAAATTTATCATAATTTTGAAGATATAAGCCAAAAACGCAAAACAATTGTAAAAATCACCATCAAAGGGCAATAACTCTAATAAGGAGCTCGAGTCGGCTGACGATTTCGACCTTTAAACTTATTTGTAGAACTTGTCTTGCTTATCATTTTTGCAATTTAAAGATTCTCTTTATCTATTATAGTTTTCAAGATAATAGGCAAAAATGAAAAGATGGTAAAATTTGTCAATTAAGGGCAATAATTTCAAGAAGTCATCTGACAGTTTTGACGTATATGGACAATTGGTAGAGCTTAACATTCTGAACATTTCTGCTCCAGTCAGATTTTCTCTACTTATAACGGTTTTCAACATAATAGACAAAACTTGCATTTTACCCCTATTTTTTTTTAGCCATGTCGGCAGTTTTGGTCGGCAGTCGGGGTCATCGGACACATTTTTTAAACTAGATACCCAATGATGCTTGTGGCCAAGTTTGGTTACATCTGAACCAGTAGTTTCAGAGGAGAAGATTTTTGTAAAAAATAACAGACGACGATGACAACGGGCGACGACTACGGACGACGGACGACGGACGCCAAGTGATGAGAAAAGCTCACTTGGCCCATAGGGCCAAGTGAGCTAAAAAAACGGAATATTTTTCCAAAACTGATGACCAGCCGATAATCTTTATTATCTAACAAGGAAAATATTGTTGCAATTTTTCTGGCATGATCAAGAGTATTAAATGTCAAACAAGTTTGTACAAAAGTAATTTATACCTGTTTGATATAAATGCACAACAATAAAAGGCATTTTGAAATCAACAAACTCACAATGCAATAAAACCATACAAAAGATATGTTTGTGCATTGTGTAAGAATAATTGACGATGATGGAGATTTTCGAATTTGTTGAAATAAATCCAATGCAATACCAGGAAATAATAAGTCAAAGGCTTTGTAACGCATCAATTGTCGTCTATTTAAATTGGTCACTATATACAAAAGCTTTTCTTTATTTTTCTAGGTTTGTAATCTGATGATGTGTAGATTAAATTTCAAACATTGTATAAGCTGTGCTGTATTAGTCACAGGCCATTCACGCCACGGGAAAAAAAATTTTCAATTTCAATGTCTGAAAATTTACTGTTTATAAAATTTCAATGAAAATGAAATTATATTTTCCCAAGGCGTGAATGGCCTGTGACTAATGCAGCACAGCTTATCAATGTTTGGTTTTCAGTACTCTTAAAAAAACGAAAATAGCTATTTACAGATGTTATGCGTCGGAAGCTTTACCTTCATCAAGAACATTTTATACCAGAAAAAAAGGAAAGCCAAAAAAGATGTTTAACTAGTTTAACAAGTAAAGAGCTTTATGATTAAAAGAACGAACCATAAAAGAATAACCAAAATCCATACTCCTGACATATTTTGTCATATCTAAAAATGTTACAGCTTATTAAACGGTATGGGTTGTGGTCATTGTTGAATGCCGAAAGGTAAACCGAGAGTCGCTTACATCCGCGTATGTTAGTCGTGTATTGTCTAACAGGCAATCATACCACTTTTACTCGTATTTCATTTTCGAAAATGATTACGTATACTTTGATGTTTTTATGGAATGTAAACATTTATTGTCCACTTGACTTCTATATATTTGCAGAAACATATTCTTTCAGAATTCGTCAGTTGACTCCATATAGGAATTCTTGTCCTCAAATGACGAACTTTACATATTTTGTGTAGTCTTCGGCAATTATCTTGATAATTATAAATATATCGAGGGAAAAAATGGTCAGCATGGAATAAATTACCAGTAGACCTCTTAAATGAGTTTTTGCACCTGAAATGACGATTGCTAGCCGTATTTGTAGACTTTGATAATAGATTTAGCCAAGCTGTAGACTGCAAAATGATCAGCAAGCCTACTTAACAGTAGGATATAAATATTAAGACAGCAGTAGTCTACCCATGTTCAAATTTGACGAATAGATTAAGAAGACAAATCAAGGTAACAACGAAAAACTTGAACACCAAAAGGAGCGAGACCGGGTCTTTTGACAGGGTAAGCGTCTTCTGCTAAGCATGCATCACCAGCCATGTAAATCCACAATCAGTTAACACGTAAAATTCAGAGAATTGGCAAAATCATGGAACAGATGTCTATGCTGGCATCTAAAGATCTTAGACCGCTTAAATAATCTGCTTCTGAGTTAGAGACACAGACACATCATACACATCATATCGGTCAACCAAAACGTGGTGGTGAAAGTAAAACTTGTGTAGTGTCAGTTTAATTTGTTCTTCCTCGTTACTCTTTTGATGCAGTTTTTTTTTGTGTAAGGAGCATGCCCCTTCTAATGAGGTCAGTTAAGGAGCATGCCCCTTCTAATGAGGTCAGTTAAGGAGCATGCCCCTTCTAATGAGGTCAATTAAGGTGCATGCTCCTTCTAATGAGGTCAGTTAAGGAGGATGCCCCTTCTAATCAGGTCAGTATTTATTAACCATGCACAAATACGTATTAACTGACATAATTATGTAAACGCCATAAAATTGGTCAGAGGGTATGTTACGTCTACAAAATGCGAATTTGACAAGCTGAAAGTCAAACACTGACAAGGCATTAGAGCTATGCATAGTGTTATTACTGGCGGTTTCTGTATTGGCCCTGGTATAGACAAAAAATATGACAAAAATACCGAATTCCAAGGCAAATTCAAACGCTGTTAATCAACAGAACAAGTGAAAAACAATTGCCTTATTCCTGACTCGGTACAGGCATTTTCAGAAAAAAGTGGTGGGTTAAACCTGGTCTTATAACTAGCTAGCAAAACACACACTTATATGATAGTTGTTTATAGTTCAAGTTGTGTGCAACACAAAACAGACGTAATAGGTGAATGTGACCATAATTGAGATCCAGCAGCCAAAACTGTGGAAACATACACCACAGACATACAACACAAGTGACTAAAAAATGCAAACAAACATACCAATTAATCTCACAAATCAACAACGAAAAATAGTCGAGAGCCAATACAGCTGATCGAGAATATATACCAGGGTCAACATATCATCTGCGTTCTGTTGATAGATCGACGGAAATGAAACAAAAATGATTGTTATCTCAAGTTCAACTCGGAAAAGCGTTGGAATATTTCCGTTTAATAAAAATGTAACTAAACGCGGAACATATTTTCAACTCTTTGTGTGATTCTGAAGTAATATGAAGTATGATAAAAATGTGTTGTATACATCATAGCACTTCCTTGCTTTTATTGCACTCAAAATAAATGTCATGCATACACCATGTGCTGGTTCCAAATTGTATAAATATCAACAGGGCGACGCTATCGGTATTTAAAATACTGGTTTATTCGTAAAAGATATGATTTGATCTTTTCATTTAATGATATCTATCATTTATTTTACTTATGACTGTTGATTTTTTCAACGGTATAAAGGAATTTATTGTTTTTATTCTAAGTTTTGTCAGTTTATCGATATTTTTTCAAATTTTTCTTTGTTTTTTTTTAGAACGATAATTTCCCATATCACGCTACTCGAGTGATATGGGTCTTTTCTGAATCGAGTAGAAAGAGAATAACTGACGTCATTACCCTACGTCATTGGTCTATCCTAGGAAAAAGCGACAAATAAATTAGCAATGGTCCTCCACACTTGGAGAAGTTTCTCGACTATATCTCATCTCATTAATATTGTCATTCAATACGAGTGTAGCCGAGAAACTCCCTCTCGTTTGAAGAACCATTGATAATCTATAGAATTATTCTACTGCGTTCGTCTTACGAAATGAGTCATCATAACCATGTGTCGAAGAAAAAAGGAAATCATCATGATCAAATGAAAAGGACAATTGAAATACAACAGTCCACAAAACACTAAAAGACAACTAAGAATTGAGCATAACAAACATTAACGGAAACTGGAACTTGATTTATCAAAATAACATGTCAGGTTTATTTCTTAACGGAGACAACTATTTAATGGTTAACTATCTACTAGTATACTACAACGCAGTTGGCGACCTTTCACTTTTGTATTTTCGGAAGAGAAAATTAGATAACGAAATGTTATCCATTGTTTGGGAAGAGAGTGCAATAAGTTATTCGCAAGACAATCAAAATACTTTGTTTTCGTTGATTTAGTGTGTATTCTGTACAAATATATATCTTTTTGTAAATGGTCTTTTATAAACATATTTTATCAACAAACGATTTCATTTCAATTATCATATTGAGTTTGAAATGACAAACTTGCTTTCAACTCTTACTTAAATCTGTGAATCCATGCTTGCATTTGTCCTTCCGGTTTCCCGTACCGTATCATAATTAAGCTTTAGATAAAGATAGTCTACCATGAACATGTGATCAAATCAACTTAACACTCAGTACACGTCTTCTCTATGATGTGAACGGTACAATCCAAAAATAATTTTAACCACATTTCGCGCTTGAAATGATACAATTCAAGTGGGGATTAATATTGTCCTAAGGACATATATTTTTGGAGGGTTTTTGTTGTTCTTCTTTCTTTCTATTCTTTCTTTTTCTTTTTTTTTTTTTGGGTTGAGGGTTGTGAGGGTCATTTCCGTTTATTAGGGTTTTTTTAATAATGTGGATGTGAGACCTTCGATCGTCTGTGTTAAGCTATGCGTCTAGACTCAAAGGGGATACACATTTGTCGAACTTTTTTGTTGAGTGTCATTCAGGCTGGTTTAGTGCTACCGACGTTAAATTTTGTCGTTTGTCACTAAGGGAGGTTAAGATGTTCTTATATGAAGGGAGTGCATATCACTTCGGATGGTGTAGACCATGCCGTAAGATTTGCCGCTGGTACTCAGTGTGATGCGGTAAGTGTCTGTGTTTCCAAGCCTGGACTTTTAAGTTAAAACTTTTTATGAAATAATGCAAATTACTGCCCAAAAATGAAATCCAAATATTTCAACAAGTAAAATAAAATAGTTGGCTTGACAAATCAGAGACAACCGAGGTCTAAAATCAAAATTATCGGTATCAATATATCAAAATTTGAAAAATATTGGTCGAAAAGTTCATAATTTGTTGCACAGCCTCTCGCAGACCACCACCCGCTACACTTCACAGTTTTTAAAACCGGATTTTTCCTTCGAAAATCCTGGTAAACTAAACATCCATAATATATTTTCATAGGACAATGCCTAGCTCGCGCTATTACATTTCCATTACGAAATGAGGGTCAAACCCCTAATTTGGAATATTTAGTTAAAAATTCACTTCATCGGAGTTCATGTTTTACAGGTGGACAACCTTAATTTGAAACAAGGAAATGCCTGTACCAAGTCAGGAATATAACATTTGTTTTCCATTCATTTGATGTGTTTGAGTTTTTGATTTTGCCATTTGATAGGGGACTTTCCGTTTTGAATTTTCCTTGAAGTTTGGTATTTTTTATATTTTACTATTGACGACTATCACTAGTGGAGCAGAATCTGCTTATCCTTCAAATATTTGACGGAGTTTGTGTTATACAAGCTTTATGTTTCTAGTGTGTTGTGAACTTGTTTGTCTTTTTGCCATCTTCCGTTTTTGTCATGGCGTTGTCAGTTTCCCACGACTTATGGGTTTTAAATGGCCTTTGTAACTTTCGCCTCATTTTGGACAGGTATAGAAAAGGACGCTTGATAGACGTACCACCGTTGGTGTTCTAATTCTTCATACAATTGTATCGGACACTATTTCAATAAGCTTGCTTAGAATAATCAGCCAAATAATAAATTATAATTTCGAAACGATATTCCGTTTGATAATTTCTAAATCAAATTTAGACTTCACTTGTTTCCAAACAAATCAAAATATTATGTTATACATCACAATAATCATATTCGTCCTCGATATCAGATGACATACCCCGATAGACAAAACCTTGAAAGTTTTCTGTTGCCAGATTTTTAACTGTATGTAAACGGGGCCAGCCATTTAATAATCCTAGCTGAAGACTAACATTTTTTTCAACTGCACTTAGTTCTCCAAATTGTCGCTTTATTCGTAGAAAATCTATTTTTGAAGGTGTAAAAGTTGTTTGTATCAACGATAATGTATGTGGATTATTGTTGTCAGACTCTTCTTCGATCTCCTTAAGAATTGACTTGTTCTGTGTATTTTTTTGGAGGATTTCCTCCTTGTAGGAATCTCTTACTTTATTTATAATCTCTACAAGTTTTGCTGCATGACGATCCATCGCGTTCAACTGTTCATCCAATTCACCCTTCCATACTTCTTTATATATTTGAATATGTTGTTCAAGTATTTCATTGCTTAGTATAACGTTTGTTCTTGGGATGGATTTTAATGCATGCCTTGCATGTACTGATTCCACGCATTGATCACAAATGAATTGCCTACACCCTGTGCATAGAAATGTTGTTTCTTTGCTATGTAACGAACAAAAGACGTGCTCTGTACTATTTTCTACGACTACAGACTGGCATCCTTCCATGTCTTGAACTGTAGTTGGTCTATTGGAACTTCCTTACATAGTGTTGTAAACTTTGTTGAGTAACTGAAAAAATGCATTCACAATTTCATTTATCATTTTCTTCCTGTTGCATTTAAGTACCATTATTCATATCATGCATTTGTAAACAATTTATTTGGAATGTGTATCTAATATAAATTGATAATTCTTTAATTTTTTCATAAATTTACATCATACGTTTTTGGACGGAAGGCAAAGTTGAAAACACAAAAACAATCACAATAAAATTTATCTAACTGAGATCTATGTTTTCCGAGCCTGCTAATAACTTTTTATAACAAATTTATTAATATAGCCAGACTGGTGTATTTAAATTGTAAAAAAAATGTCATCGTATTAAAAATAATGAGTATTTACTATTTTGATTAGAAAACGAAATAATATTAATTCATAGTTACCATATACTTACGTCTTCGTTCACACAGCGTGAGCAGTTTAGGAAATCTATTATATGTATTGTTATTTATAAATTCTTATGATACGGAAACGAATTTTATGTATTGTCCCACTTCCGAATCGAAATGACTTTAGTATTAGGCGGGAAGTGTAAAATTAATTCAAAAATAGATATACACGTATAGAGAGGAAGATATTTAATCGAGTTTCGGTTCTATAAATCAATGAAGAGATTGATAGTACCGATGGAAAATAACATCACGAGTTGTTGACTGTTGATCCCTGAATAATAAGTGATGTGTATATGTGTTAATAATGTAAAAGAATGTTATTGATTATGCAATAAACGTGATGTGGTTTAATTTGTGACGGTATGTGCACTGTTTTATTGCATTAAAAAAGAATACATCGTTTTCCATGTTAGTAATGATATTTTTTCCATTATCATTGGCATTGTTCAATTCTAACTTTGATCCTTTTTAATTACAATATTTCTTGAACAGCATTCATCAAACAAAGTTCAATGTGTACTATTGTAATTACTGTTTAATTTTTTGGTACTAGTAACATTTAGTGGTCAGAACTACTTCGGTAGTCTCGTGATTGCAAACTGTCCTCGACTCGAGTGTGGATGTTATGAGTTTAAACCCGTCTGGGTCAAACCAAGAACTTGAAAACTGATATTTACTGCTTATTAGCTAATTACTTGGCATTCAGGATTAAGAGCCAAAACCTGTCGGCTCTAAGTCAGAATAATGTGTGAGGGTATCATTTAGACTGTCCCCTTGCGCACTAGCACGTTGAAAAGCCGGCTGAGCCTGTCGGTATAGTACAAAGCATAATTTATATTCCTATCACATTATCGTGTGATGGTCTTGTCCTGAATATGCGTCAATAGCTATCCATCATCCATCAAAATCATAGTTATCTTAAGGTTAAAAAAAGGCATGGAATAATCCAATAAAGTATAAATTTTCACCCCGACTCTTGCATATATGATATTTATATCATGTGTAACGTGGCTGTGTCATAAATGCTGCAAACTTTGTTTGGTTATGTTATAACACACTTTTCGGTATGGCTTTCGCTATAGGTGTAGTACGTACGGTGACCTGTAGTTACTTTGGACTTTGTCAGATTTTTATCTCATTTAAATGTAACCATTCACACTGGTAAATAAATTTCAGTTTTAAACGGCAAATGTCGACCTTAACATAATGAGATTAGTCTAAAACTGACAAGGTAAGTCTTGTTAAGAGTTTAAGTAAATTTGCATATATATTAAAGTTGTTAATTCCGTACTGTTGAGACATACATTTGTGCAGTTAATTCAGTAGCATTTAAGACAACATGTTGTTGTATACAGTTTAATAACAGCTGCTGAACAGTCAGAGCACAATCTGAATAGAAGCGAATTGTCTGAAAAGTTTTTTTAATGAGTTAATTTCCATTTATATTGAAGTTGTTAATTACGTATTGCATGTATTGTTGTGACATATATGTGTGCAGTTAATTCTGTAGCATTTTAGACAACATATTGTTGTTTACAGTTTAATACCAGCTGCTGAACAGTCAGAGCACAATCTGAATAGAAGCGATTGTCTGAATAGTTCTGAATTTACCACATTGAATGAATAAAAAAATAAACTTAAAGACAGAACACGACTTGATAATTTACGAGCTGTGCAGACCAAAATTGGCAAATAGTGTTACTGGTTGCAGATACATGTAAAATATTCATTTGTGTCTTCGGTAATTAAAAAGACGGGATCGCGCAAAATCAAATTAGAGCAAGCGAGGCCAGATGGGCTCAAAATTACGTACGTAAATTACAGGAACAGTAGTATACTACATTTTAATTTTACTTCAGACTTAAATACGTTGAAATGAACTTATCTTTGCATTGCCAATTTCTAGCATCAATTTCATGCAATATACTCATAAGATTATTTCGACTTTTTGTGTTGAGGCGGCGTAAACTAAACATATATCAATCAATCATCAGAATATAAGCATATCAACCAAATTAATTAAATTGTCAACCACGCTTTACCATAACATATAAACAACTATCAACAAAGTGTGGTATGTCACTGTATAATAATGTTGAAACTGGGTATAGTATAAAATCTTATAAATATTTAAACAGAATTTATGTGAAACACTTTCATAAAAGGAACCTGATGGCATTTTAAAGTTTAAATCACACTACGTTTTACTAAAGGTACAATTAAAAATGATCAGTAAATCTTATTCAAACTCTCATTTGTTTCATAGTATCAAATCATAAAGCATGTGTATTATAAATGATCAATACATGAGGAACACATACTTTCATTTTTAAGGATGTAAGGTATGCCAAATTACACCTTCTTCAATAACATACATTTAAATATTGCATTTTAATACAGACGTGATTCTGTGTTTATTGTAGATTATAACACGATTCGATATTTTGTTTGGATAAATAAAGCTAGCAAAATTGCATAAATAAGTCTATAAACCGGAATTGTACGATTTTCATGTCACACAAAAAATACGCAACAACGGCTATGTCAAATTGCTTCGCGCTTTTACATGTTTTAGGAAATAAACTGACAGATTTCATGTACATAACATATTGCTTCTTTTATAGTAGGTCTTGAACCTTATGAAACTGTTATATATTTGTTGTACTGTTTGGTAGCACAGTAGTACTTCGTTTATGAATATAAAATAAAACACAAAATATCTTTGACCACTCAACTATTTTCTTACGTTTTGAACTTTGTCTCTTCGATACGTTATTAATACCTTTTCGAAATAAAAGTAGAACGGCTTTCTTATTTCTGATGGCAACGTTTTTATCAAATTTTAAAACAATTTTATATCCCTACAATTATACATTTGTTTTCCTTAGACGCTTTAAGAATAAGAAGTCAGATTCAACCTCATTTTAAGATTATAGGCCAATAGAATAAAAAACACTTGCACATTTCGCAAACTATTCAGGTGTCAAAATATTTTAACTGTCATGTTATATGCAAATTATAGAATGAAGATAACAACAAAACTATTCAATGAATAAAGTACTATATAATCGTATCCTATTTACGCTAAGAAACGTTACGTCTCTTGTGATCTAATTGGAAAAAGTCATTTCTATTCTATACTCTATTCTACTTTATTGCATCAAATGTTCAATTGCAACTAGATATTCTGTTGTAATACTTTTTATATTTGCAGAACTTGAAAAGCCTGTGTTTAAAGATGTGCATCTCGATATCAAACAAGGTCGATAAACACACTTGATGAATACTTTCATTTGTTCACACAACCCGTATCTATGTTAATTTTCTGAGCATTCATTACACATCATGACGTGTTGGTAATTTTATAATGTTTGTTTTTTTTTAAGTAGGGCACGATTTACTTGCAACCGTCCGCCAATTCCTTCGTTTAAATAAACATTTAGTTTTAGGTCTTCTTTCCTTTTCCCAGAAGTAAAAAGGGAACATTGCATGGATTTTGCATTCCATTTCCTTGTCATTTTATCTAAATATGTATTTATATTGGCACTAATATCGATTTTGTCATCAGCAAATTAAAACATAACTAAATTTGTATTCTTTTCAAACGGGATGTATAAAGACACACCCACGTTCATTTTGATCTATAAAGCGGTTAAACTCCTAACTATCCTACTGTCTGTCGATACATTTATTTTTGTCATTGCACAAGTCATGTCTAATTTGACTGTCCATGACGTAAAAATACTAAATCCCTGGGATGTGTTTTAGTTGATTTTAGTTTTTGATGCATGATTTTTTTATTATTAATTGTGTTGGCTTTTAAATAGCTGCCAGTAACTGCGAGTACTCTCAAATCGTACTTTCTTGTTTATTTGAACTGTTGCTACTAATTGTAATGCTTTTTTGTTATTTAATGTTATTCCGGGTTATATCTGGTTATACCCGGAATAACATTAAATAACAAAAAAGCATTACAATTAGTAGCAACAGTTCAAATAAACAAGAAAGTACGATTTGAGAGTACTCGCAGTTACTGACAGCTAATTAAAAGCCAACACAATTAAGAATAAAAAATCATGCATCAGAAACTAAAAGCAACTAAAACACATCCCAGGGATTTAGTATTTTTACGTCATGGACAGTCAAATTAGACATGACAGCTTTGATAAGTGTTTGGTATTACTATAAATTTTCACTTCGTACTATGAACATCAAAATTATTTATTTTGTAAAAATATTTCCTTTCTCTATTAGAACTGTACACGTTAACCTAACAACAAAATTAATTTCATTTACCTGTGTTTAAATTAATTGCAAATGGCTGATATTTTTGTTTGAGCATATTGTTTTTCTTAAATTGTTTAACATTTCATACCGGTATTACATGTTACTTTTATTATTCTTCCCTTAGTTCATTTATTTTGTATTTACATTGCATCATAGGTCAAATTTTTTTGTTCAGTGTATGTTCACTGGTGTTAATATGTCCTTTGATTGAGTTAAGCTATTTCAGTTGATATTTTATAGTGTGTTTTTATATGTTGTGATTTTACACTATTGTTTCAGAAAAAGGATGAAGGTTTGGTACCATTAAAACGTTTAAACCCGCTGCATTTGTTTGCACCTATCCTAAGTCAGGAATATGATGTTCAGTAGTTGTCGTTCGTTGATGTGGTTCATAAGTGTTTTTCGTTTCTCGTTTTTTATATAGATTAGACCGTTGGTTTTCCCGTTTGAATGGTTTTACACTAGTAATTTTTGGGGCCCTTTATAGCTTACTGTTCGGTGTGAGCCAAGGCTCCGTGTTGAAGACCGTACTTTGACCTATAAAGGTTTACTTTTATAAATTTTGACTTGGATGGAGAGTTGTCTCATTGGCACTCATACCACATCTTCTTATATCTAATTAGTATATATACAGACAACTTTGCTTAAGAAAGGAAAGAAAATGCCCTCTCTTTTCGGTGTTGAAAGTAAAATTTCGAAGTTACCGCTTGAATCGCTATATCTTGCGTAATGTCCATCGAAGTGATTAAAAATAATAATATGACTATGTACATTGTTTGAGTGATACTAATATATGAAAAACTAGACCACTTGGTTGGGAAAATAT